TATTTTTTTATTTCTATTCTTCCATCATTTTCACCATCGTATTATTCAACAAATAGGCTACGCGAGAAAGGGGGGGGGGGGCTAATACCTGTATAGTAAATTCTATCGTAACTAATTACGGTACGAGTACGGTACTCGAATTCCAGAAACACATTACCGAGTGACCATCCATGACCACTCCAATACCGCTTATCACAATTATCATATCATACACCTCACGATATCACCACCACAAGCACTTTTGTGCCCACCGCCAAGACTCGGCACGATACTTATATACATCACACCGTATCCTACGAAATATTGTAAACCCCCTTCGCACCACCATCCAAGCCCGCCCCAACCCGAACACCAGACCAGACCGCGACATACGTACGCACACTTATTATACTAGTACAGACATAAATTATCATACATGTACGGTACTCGTACACTCAAACCCCGCCGCCCCGGATTTCCACAATACGGATACCTCGCCGTCCCGTACGAAATGTCGTGAATTCCCAAAATTTTCCACAGCAAAACTTGACTCGTCGTTCCGGATAACCCGCTGTACCAGACAGATTCTTTAGATTTTGGGCCGTCCGGGATAACGGGGTGTGAGTGTATCATACAGTATATACCCCCCATTCCCCGACCCAATCATTCCTGTGCCATTGTGATACTTGTATATGAGCACGGTACGAGTACTGTATCTGCACTTACTTACTTGCTTACTTGCTTGCTTACTGCAGTACGGGTACAGTACTTCGTACCGGTACCACCCGAACTCGGACTCGGGAATATGCAAACTCCGGCGTTGCATGGTGGGTGGATGGACTGCGGTAAGGCGACGGACGGCACACAAGCACAGTTATGATATCTTGCTGCGATATGATGAGTGTCCGGCCCGGAGCACTTCCGGGAGGGGCACTGCCTCGTTTGTGTTATTATGTTGTGCTATGATACATATGGTAATAGTAGCGAGAGAGAGGGAGAGAGGGAGAGAACGAAATCAATAAAGAAAAGGGAAAAATACAGTCGATCAGTGGTCGCCTACAGGAGTGGTACAGTAATGTTGAAAATTGACTCGATTTAATTACAGTGTATCATACCGTAGCTATCATTCTATCATCATCAGCATCATCGTCATCATCTGAAATCACTCGTGTTCCTCAGTTCCAGAGTTCCTCGCTTGCCCGAGTTCCGCACGAGTAGTACTAGCGGTATTATACATATCATAGAGCGTCGGTGGATCACTAATCTTTCCGTCCGTACAAATTCCTTCCTGCCAATGCCGGCCCGACTGACTGACTGACTCACTCACCCACTCGCCTTTTCAGGTCCTCCCGGTACTTTTTTTGTTGAGCTCGTCCTTCTCGTATAATATCCTCATATTACCGGTACGGTACCGGATATACGATATAAAAAAATAAAAATAAAAAAGGACAAGATGGTGGGGCACTTTCGCCTAAAATCACATAATAATTTATTATATAGAAGAAGGAAAGAAAGAGCTTACGCACACCCCCTCAATTCTTCCCCACATCGAGTTTAAGAATTCCACGTAATTGCCTTCCCCTTCATGCACGCCAAAGTGCAAAATAGCGGAGGCGAACCGAATCAGAAGCCAAGTTATACGGGTACCCGTGCTCGGGCACCTTACCTCCACTGCACCAACCCACACACACAATAAACCAATCAGCTATGGTAATTGGGTAGGCGTAGGCGGAAGGAAAAAGGAAAAAGGAAAAAAGAAAAAAGAAAAAGAAAGAAGGTATATTGAATTCCCTTCCTTTGATTGAATTCCACTTCTCCCCTGCCTGCCTGCCTACGTACTCCGCGTTTTCCCACTCCAAAGCAAGCTAACCTAAAGAGCTAAAACATTGACTTAGGAGAAGAGGGAGAAAAATAAGGAAAGGAAACATAGGTAAACAAGTGAAAAAAGACAAAATCCCGTCCAAAAACACAATAATAAGGAAAAGGAGCGAGTACCCGTTAACAAATGAAATGCTGATGATCATAATGAAGAAAAAGACAAGGTTGAGGGAAGTGGGGGATGAGAAAAAATAAAGTCAGTAAGGTAAGGTATAAGACAGTAATAAATGGGAATGAAAAAAGAAAGAAGAAAAAAAGAGGAACCGCTATCGTTTGCATCAGAATTTGAGGAAAATTGGAGCTATTGGAATGAGTAGACACAGGTCAAGGTCCAGCCGTCGCTGTTTGGATGAAACAGAAACAGTTGGAAAGAAATTGAGATGATATGAGGGGGAAGGTATCATGAAAGTGAGGTGCGACTCGTACGAACATTCTGCCATGTAGAAAGAAAAAGGAACAAAAAAAATACAGGACTGATATAAGGTGGAAACAAAGTTTTGTTGGAGGGGGGGTAAAATAATATCAAAACAGCACCCAAGGTCGATAAAAACTCCCGTGCGTCTAAAGTCGTGTAATTCCCAACCACCTAAACTCCAAGACCTACCAGCCAAGGCTCGAGCGAAAAAATCAAGAGCAGCAAGTTTGACATGGTACAATGTATATGAAGGTTTTTTAAAAAAATCTCCATAACGTTTACTGGCCGCCAACAACCAATCCGATCCTTCTGTAGATACCCTCGGCAGCATCCAACATTCTGTTTGCTTCCCCTAATGTGCTCTCTCCGATCTCTTCGCTCTTCTCCTCGACGACCTCAGGAGATTGTTCTGCAACGGCCTCTTCAAAGAGATCCTCTGGTTGGGCCTGGCCTCCTGCAATCATTTCCAAACGTTCAAGCAAAGCCTCGACACCGGTTCCGGGGAACAATTCGTCGAGAGTTTTCTTCTCGTCAACCTCAGTCTCTTCCCTGGCATAGTATTGCATCTCTTCCTCGTAAACATCAAAGAGATCCTCTGGTGCCTCATACTCGTCCTCCTCGAAGTGATAGTCCATGATATCAGCCTTCTCATTGCGGATGGGGAAGAAGCCGTCAGCAACTGGGAGGGAGCTCAATTTCCAGTCCTCATCCTCAACAACCTTTCCACTCAAATCCTGGATGCTTGGGGGGCCTTGCGGAAGTTCGAGGACGCTAAACACTTGCGGCGAGTTAGTTCCCCAGGTGTTGTACGCCAAAGGCCACTCAGAATCTTCGGAAACCGGGGCAAGGTTAGGATTGACATCCTTGCGGGTATTGGGGCGAAGGGAGGCATCGGCATTGGAAGTAGCGGTCTTTGCTTCTGGTGCGGTGGTGGCACTGGAAACCTGCTCCAAAGCATCGTTCTGGGCGGCCGGTTGCATAGCGTCCAAAAATACTGAAAACGCAGGAGAGCTCAAGAGCATTCTAGTAAGCTCACTAAGTTTGTTATTCTCCTCCCTGAGTCTGGTATTCTCATGTTGAAGGTCGGTGGCTTCGTTCGTCTTGGTAGCAACCTCCTGCTCCAAGTGGGTGATGTATTCTATGGAACCTGTCAGTAGATGCGGGCGGACCAATCCGAGAACGAATGATGTTACCCTTTCTTCTGCTTCTGAAAGCACGGGCAGAAACCTTGTTCCTGAGCTGTCTCCTCTCCTTGCTAGTCAATTTCTTTCCTTCCTCACTGGCGAGCAAACGCTCATCCTCATCCATCTCATCCTCCTCCTTCTTGAGCTTGGCAATGTGGGGTAAAACGGGGGGTGTGCCGTTGGTAGAAGGTTGAGGAGCACCATTCTTCATAGAAGTCAAGATTTTGTCTACACGCTCATCGACGCTACTCTTGGGGGCAACCTTAAGCTGTTGCTGTTGGGATAGCGGAGCCTGTTGCTGTGCTTGTCTCTGTTGCTGCTGCTCCTTGATTGCTCTCTGCTGTTGCTCATAGGCAGCTTGGTGTTGATGGATACCGGCGTAGAATCGACCAGCGGTAGCCATGGGAGGAGCGGTGGGACCGGCGGGAGGGACCGTGACAGTGGGAACTTCGATCTTGACCGAAGATTCCAAGTTATCCATCACCGTTGGCGAGGCTCCCAAGACCAAGCTGGGGTTGACAAAATTTGCTGAACTATCCCCAGCAGCGGTGCTCTCGGGGTAAAAGTAGGCTGGCATCATGCCGTTCGAGCTGTTTAGCGAGGCGGAAGAGTCGTTGTCGAGTTGCATGAAATGGTTCTCGTGGGGGGAAACCGACATGGAGGCAGCCGGGGGAAAGAAGTCGGGATAAAAGCCAGAATTCACGGGAAGCGAGCCCGTTTGTTGGGTGTGAAGATCGTATTGATGGCTCGGGGCGGGAAATCCTGTAGCCGACAGATGGTTGTTGTTGGTCACCTTCTGGTTCATGGAAGGGGTGCTGGACTGCGACGAGGAGAAGGAGGATCGAGAGAGGGTAGGCGAGGGCATGAATGAATTAGAGCCGTCGTAGTCGATGAAGGCGTCGATATCGTTAAAGGAAGAGTTCTCCTGGTTGAAGGACAGGGAGGAACTCGAACGGTTCCTGCTCATGTTATTCTGTTGTGACATTTCAAACGAGGAGGCGAGAAAAGCCTTTCTCCGTGACGCCGGTTTTCGCTCGCTGGTCCGTGAAGCTAATTCCCAACTTTCCCTATCTCCTCTCTAGTTACGATGTTTGCGGTTGTGGTGAAGCGACAGGATAGCTGCTTCTGCTAAGTGTCAACGGGAATATTTACTTGTGTGAACCCCAAGGGTGGGAAAACGACGGAAGGTTTAACGGTGTTGACGATGGTAGCGAGTGGGTGGTAGTGGTAAAGAAGAGGGCGAGGGGTTGTGTTGTTGAGTTGTGAAGGTGTGAAGGTGTGCGGGAAGGAGGACGGAAGGGGACAGGACAGGTAGCGAGATGAAGAAGAAGGTGGGCTGTGTTGCAGGATTGCTGTGTTGTGTGGGTGCAGTGCTGTAGGAACGGTGATGGTCGCAGTTTCCTACTGTAGCAAGAGGAGAATTACAAGCGGCGGCAAGCAAAAGCTGATTGATCGGTGGACAAGGAGGGAGTACGGGGGGGTTGCTCCCAAAAGAGGCTCCTATTGGGCAACAAATCTACTGAGGGATGAATGGGAAGCTCCGACCCTCCGGGGGGGGAGCAGAGGGGAAGGGGGAAACGGGGCTGTGTTGCAATATCCATCCACCCTCTTCCACAGGATGCCCCAACCCCATCGAGGAGACTGAGGAACCAAGCCAGGACCGAAGGACCAAGCATCCCGGGACAAGATTCGTGTTCACCCTCCATCTGCTCCTCAAAACGGTTGCAGCCCCCAATCTGGTGCTGGGGTTGCTGGAAACCGCTCGGTTTTTAGCTTAAATTCCGCTGCTCCAAAGCCCGGAGCCCAGCGTTCTGCCATTTACTCGGGGGCATACAGAGCTCGTCATGATCCTAACAATATCGCTCCATATAGCGCGCTCGCAGCAGTCCTCATCAGCATCGACAAGCCCACCGGGACAGCCCTTTGACAATGTAACTTGAAGCCTTCTGCCTCGGTCCCTCCGGCGATCTTTTTTCCTTTTTCCCACTTCTTCCCTCCCCAGAGATCACGGCCAGCCGACGCTCCGCGGTGATGCTGGCACTCGTACTGTACAGTACTCGTACACTGCTCGTATCGTATGTAGAGACCGGTAGCATACTTACTCGAGTGTACCCGTACCGCAAACCGCCCTCCAACAAAAGGGTTAGGGGTATGCATTTATAAAATATCATATGCAGCGCACATTTGTCGCTGGACTGACAGAGTCTACCGGTCGGCACCGGGCCTCCTAACAATCGTCGTTCAGTAGACTACCGTACGAGTACTCGTACAGTCGCACCCCGTTGTCCCGGACCTCACTCTCCCGGATCCCCCGCTGTCCCGGACGAAATCCTCTGAATGTGAAATTCTTATTTTTCTTACACCAAGGCCTACCGGTACCCCGTTGGCCCGGATAATCCGCTGTTCGGTGACGCTTACTCGAGTACCCTTACTTATATCGTAGTAATAAAAGCTTATCGAACGTCCCCGGCGGATTCTTCGGATTCTGGTTGGAATTTGCAATAAACGTGCCGGCTCATCCTGCTCTTCTCGCCAAACCATCGAACCTCCCCTACGACGACTCCCCTGCAAGGCAGCAACACCCAATTCCTGTTCGAGACACCCTGCAGAGCTTTCCGTTTATCCGACACGAGGCTTGCGTCACGCTTCCTGGCTGACCCTTACCCTAAACCCTACTTTCGCTCTTCTTTCACTCAGAAGGCTTGTTGCACCGCGGATATTTCGGGCTTAGCATTTCTAAAAACAGATCGCATGGACTAATGAGGAAAAGATTTGACAGACTCCCTTTTCAAGCCACCCACGCAAGGTAACTTGGGTGTTGGAAGAGAAAAAAAGATAGAACCTTGTTCAGCTGAAGTGAGACTCCGCGATCCCCCGCTCTGGGTCACTTCTGCCATGCGTCTAGAAGGTTTTCGCGAACCAAACAGATCTGTGCACGAGCATGATTCTCGAGTACTCTCTCGAAACGGATACCGGGACAAAAGATACCAGTACCGTACGGGTACGGTATGACTTTGAGACGCTAGATCAAAGGATATCACCTGCCGGCAGAGGGTCCTGTAATTTTTATGCCAATGAAAAGCAAGCGTTCGGGGAAGCTTCTGAAGAACGACTGCCAGCACGGTCTCCGGTGTCCGAATTGCTCGAACCAGAGTCCGTGGAACGGAACATTGGAGGATCCAAAACCCTTTCGTCCTGGAATGCGGATCAACGATCCCGATGGTCCGTGAGGGCCGATCTCACCCGTTCTCTGATGTTTGTTTGCTGCTCAAGCCTTTTCCTAGTCCTCTTTTCTTCGCGGCCATGGCTTCAAATGTCGTGAACATTACCCCCAAACAGTTTTTCTGATTATGATATGCATCGGTCGTCGTTTGAAGGGGTTTGGCTTGGACTGAATTTCCCGCCCTGCTCGAGGACGCGCGTGCGCGCAACGTCCTCCTGCTTGCAGTTTTGCAAAAATTACTTTCCCCTCCCCCAACAAGCAGCCGAGTTACTTTTATTATCCCATGAGTACTTTGTACCGTACCCTATCGCTCCTGGTTCAAGCATGTCGAGCCTGTCTTATATTCACCGGATCCATATATGACACTTCAATGTTCCCTTCTCCGCCTCCTTCCTGGCGGCACCCCCAAGGTAATATCCAAGTTTGACTGCTGCGATACCCGTACCCTTTTGTAACTGGGCGGAAAGTGAGGGATCCGCAAAGTGGGCTTTCGATGATTCCAAATTGCGGTGGGAAAAAGCTGCAGTGCTCGGGTACAGTACGGTACCCGAGTACTAGTACTCGAGTACAGTACCGGTACTCTAGCTCGGGCATTTGTACTACGGACGGATCCAAGGAATCCCCTGTCCGATTCCCCGGAGAGCTCTCCGTGTGGGTCTGTTTCAGGTTACTTACTGTACAGTACGAGTACATTAGCTGATGCTAATCTGGTCTGGTCGGGTACGGGCACTTGTACGGTACTGAGTACAGTACTGTACGAGTACAAGTACTGGTACTCGTACTGTAGAAAATTCAAGATTCGAGAGCCGCGGCTCAGATGGGGGAAATCCGAAGCTTCCCTTATTGGTCTCCCATAATAAGGGGGGTTTAAGGGAACGAAGGCCCAAAGGGAAGTCCAGAAAGGGGTGATCGCTTGTGGTCTCTCAACTGCCCTGGGCGGTCAGTCGGTTCACATAGTGTCACTCGATAAGTTTTTGTCCTAACAGAGGGCAGGTTGGAGCACAATACTCGAGTACAGATTACCGGGCGCGCTGCGGTGGAAAGGCGAGGAACCCGCTGCAGAACCTCGAATACCGGTAACTTGGGACCAGCCCCATGCACGCATGTACTCGAGTACTCGAGTATTCCTCCCCCCCTCCCCAGTCGTAATCTGTGAAGAATCTATGCAGCACGGATGGCCCGTCGAATTTCGGCATAACCCAGAACATGCCTATCCGATTCCTGTTCTCCCATTCAAAACAGTGAAACATTGTTTCGTTGATCCCTCGGGCCGTTCTCGCCGCTTTGAATTTGAAGGTTTCGTGCTGGTGAGTTTGGTCCGTGGGGGTGGTGCCAAAGGAAAGGCGAGCCAGGAACTCGCCCATGTTGCATGCGCCGGGAACAAACGTGATACCGGTACCGGTACAGCGACGCATGAATTGAGTGAAGCGGTTATGAAACGGAATGTGTGTGAACCTTTGGGCCAAATGAGGAACAAAAAGGGCGCATATGATGGTATTGGGAAGGTTGGGAATGGCGCTGGGGCCGGCAACGAGCAAATGGAGGAGCTTGGCTTAGGGCAGGACCTGAGGGTATATTTTTTTCCCGTACAAAACAGACCGGATGATCACTTTCCGAGTGATGGATTGCGTAGAAATGCGGAATCTACTCTTCATTGGGTATTTAGTATACACTCAACAATGGTGGGGGTGCCATTTAAGGTCTGTTATTCGAAATAATGTTCTGGTGTATTTGTTTAGGCTTGTTTTGCTGAAGGTGTGGGATTTGCAGCATCGGCAGTCGTGTAGGGCCGCTGTTCCGTATGATAAACCTCTCACCGATGCGTACGGTCTACCAAGCTTCTTTGCTTGTACTAGTACTTGCAAACACCTATTGAGGAGAGGAAGCATATTATCTCTCTACGTCGACCGACCTTGGAGGCTGGAGAAGGTCCTACTGTCAAGAGAGAGCTATCATAGTCATAATTGCCGTGCAGAAAAATACCTACCATACTGGTATGCCGCCGCTCAATCGCGGATTGGACGGTGCTGTTGCGAGACCGAGAATTTGACAACAATCAAGAATGTTTGCCACAGATCGAATGAGGGCTGATCTCCGAGACATATCACGAGGATAAACACCACACGTCCGTCACGATAACACATTAAATCACTCGCATGAAAGTCTGCAGAGCTTTTTCCACTTAGAAGGCAATGGCTTGCTTCACCCCTCGGCCTCACCCTGTCTAACCCCCACTACACGTCTCAATTGTTCAATTTGATTCTGGCAGTTCGCGTCACCTTGGACCCCTCATCTTTCTCAACCTTATCATACACAGGGCGACGGGATGGCAGAAAATCGCTCTTCTCTAGAGACAAGCCCGAGCACCCAAATCCGGTGCCAGGTATTACTCTGGAGAGTTTTCCTCTAAGCCCTTCGATCCCTTGATCGTTGCAGGCGGCACCGCTGGACTTGCTCTCGCAGCGCGTCTATTCGGGAACCTAAGCACCTGTTTGGATGTTCTCGAAGCCGGGAGGATACGGCTCGGGTCTTCTTGGAAGATCAATTGCAGATCTCGGGTTGGATTGGACCTACATGACCGTTCCTCGGGGGGAGGTTGGTGGGAAATTGTTGGGGAGAAAGTCCTTGGCGGGGGCTCGGGGTTTAACTTCATGTTCTGCAGGAGGGGGGGGGGGCAAGTAGGACTACTGGTATGTGAATGGGAGAAGGACTTTGGAATAGAGGGGTGGAGATGGATAATTTTTTTGTCTGCCCTCCTTGGGTGCTTATTTTTTATTAGGGAGTATTCGAGGGGGTCCTGGAGACTCAACCTCCCGACGAAGTCTGAGCAATTGGCTACGTTGCTTACATTTACACATGTTCCAGAGCTCCATGTTGCCGATGGCCCTATACATGTTAGTTTTCGGGTTTGGATGACGGTGTGATAGGGCTCATTCCTGCTTTCATGGATATTGTTGTTGTGGGAAACGTAGAGCCTATGGGTGGCGGTGGTGTTGGACCGAATTTTGCCGCCCTGAGCGTTGTCCCAGCTACAGGGAAAAGCTCGTGTTCTGCAAACTCTTAATAGAGACCTAATTCTAATAGGGGAGGTCTGGTCGCCTTTGGCCGATGACCAGGCTACGGGGATTCTGATTGAGGACCGTGTCGCTGTTAGAGAGGGGTACCTTTTTGGTTGGAAGACGTACTCGAGTACAGTGCTCATCCCTCGGAAGAGGTGATTTTGTCTGCTGGGGCAATTGTGCCCCCACGGTTTGCTTGAGCACTCCGGAGTTGGCAATAGGAAGTTCTTGGAAGAATGTGGTGTAGTGTGTAAGGCGGAGAATCCAGATGTCGGAGAGGGGATGGAGGATCACGTTTGCGAGTGTGCCAATGATATCATGAGATGAGGTAGAGCCAAGAAACCTAGTAACGGGTATTCAGTTTGAGCTCCATTGTGGGGCTCACAGCATGGACGGCCTGGGCAGTCCTCAAGAGCTTGCTGGAGCGGTGAAAGAATACGGAGCCTCGTTCCCGGGGATATCAGCAACACCACGTACGCATCACTCGTGTTCCGTGATTCCACTTTCCAAAGTCATGCCCCAGTCTGAAATGGAAGACACAAGAATGCGTCCCCACTCGCACAGGTCAGTCCATATCTCCTCCCCGAACATAACCGACCAACAAACTATCGAACCGGATATACACTCCTCCAGTATCGACTTCCACGTCCTTTTCGCACCGCGGGTCGCCGACAAAATGGTTAAGACCACTATTTGAAAGGCTTCTCGCGAAGCATAACCCACAGCCGGAGGGAGAAATGACCGAGAGTGGCTCGCATGAGTTTGTTGGAGAGCCAACGGGAACCTACTTTCGTAGTATCGCCACCTATGCTCTATTACCCAGAGGTATAGGAGGAGTGGCGGCTGAGAAACTGAGGGTTTATGGTGTTAAGGGATTAGGAGTTGTGGATGCTGGAATGGTATCTTATCGTACCACTACTTAGCTATTTGTAAAGTATTCAGACGCACGGCACCAAAACAGATACTAATAATATCAAGGTGTCTGAATACTTGTGAACGACGAAGTATGGCCAAGTATCCCTGATTCATAGAAAGGCAAAACCTGCATCATGAGGAGATATTTGGGCTGTGCGATAACCCTCCCCCCGTATGCCAATCCTTTTGTGGAGCTCTCTTCAAGTTTCACCGCCACTGCATGATATTATGATACCTACAGTATGCCAATTGTGGCCAAACACCTAATCATCACCTCAAATCACTCGAACTTAGGGATCTTGGGATAATAGTTGTGCACAGACCAACTCATATTTTTTCGTGCGGCTCAAGTAGCCTACCGCATGATATCGTGCTGGTGGAACAACCCAACAGCCCAACAACCGTTCCTTGACGACGCGCACATTCGAACACGTCTTCTGCACCCCCACCATTGCTACAACGAAAATGGCTTCACCCCCGCCCCCGCCCACTAAACGGGTAAAACTCGACGCGCCCAGTCATAAATCCTCCTCTCAGAGAGAGTTTGAACTCGCAGTCGGAATTGCCGGTTATGTGCACCCAGACCTGCCTGGATGGCAGGGTGTGTTCAAGCAGCGGTACGCGGACTTTCTGGTGAATGAGATTGGGCTCGGTGGGAAGGTTGCGCACTTGACGGATTTTGGATCGGGGTTTTTGAGGAAAGGGGGGAAAAAGATGGAGGGGGAAAAGAAGGAGCAGAGGGAGGAAGAGGCGGAGTCGTCATCCGCTCCTAGAATTGCCGGGGACGTGATAGACAATACGGACAATATGGGAGAGGAGGATACCAGCCCAGAAGTATTGACTGCTACCCTCTGGGCTCGGCTCAGGCTAACAAGCCACCAGAACCCCAAACTTCAAAGTATTATTCGATTGACCGGTCCTGAAACTGCCGAGTTCTGCAGCAAATTACTAGCGAGCATTAACAGCAGAGCAGCGGGGTCTCATCCAGAACATATAACGCCGAGTATAGATCGTGAAGAACGGGGTCTCGTCCACACCGCAATTCGGGAATTTTCCTCGGGAAAAATAGATTCAATTACCTTGAGCGGTGACCAAGAAGGGTGTATCAGAATTTATGCGAGTATCGGGCAGCCTGGCATGCGGCAGAGGAAGCGGGGAAATCGTGCGGGGCGCAGGAGGAACAAGCCTGGTTTGGGCGATGGGGAGGCGAGGTCGGATTATTGCCATTTTTTGGTGTATAAGGTGAATAGGGATACCATGGATGTTATGGGGATTCTACCTCACTTAATTGGCGGCGCTGGAGGGAAGAATCCGTTCTCTTTTGCTGGGAACAAAGATAAGAGGGCCGTTACTGTATCCTGGTTCTCTGCATACAAAGTTTGTGCGGAGCGGTTGGCTCAGTTAAACCGGGGAGAGGGCGGGCTTAGAGGGTGCCACTTGGGGAATTTCTGCTACAAGGATACCGGTCTGAGGCTCGGCGATCTATGCGGAAATGAGTTCGTCATTACTCTCCGAGAGTGTGTTTCTTTGGACACGAGCAAAAGTTTAGAGGAGGTTGTTGGCAATGCAGTGCAACGCGTGAAGGAGACTGGCTTCATAAATTACTTTGGGCTCCAGCGCTTTGGTAGCCACGGGGTTGGGACATGGGAAGTTGGGGTAGAGATGCTAAAAGGCAATTGGCGCGGTGCCGTCGAGAAAATCTTGAGCTACGACCCCGTGATTCTGGAAAAAGACGATGATTCTGTCTCCACAGAGGAGAAATCCCGTGCACAGGCTTGCCACGCTTTCCTTACTACCTACGATTTCCGGAAAGCTGCGGAGCTCATCCCTCGTCGGTCAAATGCTGAGAGAGCGATCCTTACATCGTTTAGGGATCGGGGTATTGAGGCTAATGAGCATGGCGGGAGGCTAGATTACATGGCAGCACTACAGGCTGTCCCTAGGAAGATGAGGACAATCTATCTTCATGCTTTTCAAAGCTTTGTCTGGAACTATGTCGTTACTGAGAGGATTTCTTGGGGCACTAAAGTTCTACCCGGCGATCTGGTAATGGCGGAGGCCACTACTGCCGCCGAGAACAAGGCGCCTAAGGCCCTTACCATCGATGATTCCCCGGAAATGGACCAGGACGGCGAAATCATCATCCGTGCTCCTCCGGAAGACATGGGAGTAGCCAGCGCCAACCCGGAGGAAGGAAAGTTCAAGCGGGCCAGAGCACTCTCCAAAGAAGAAGTCGAGTCAGGGAAATACACAATCAAAGATATCGTCCTCCCGACCCCGGGCTGGGACATAATATACCCACAAAACGCCCTCATGGAGATTTACAGTCGGGTTATGAAAGAACACGGCTTGGATCCTCTAAACATGAAGCGCAATCATAGGGAAACAAGTCTTCCAGGATCCTACCGTCACGTTATTGCCACGTTTATCAACGGCGAGGCCAACTACGAGATTAGAAAGTACCATGGCGACGAGCAGATCGTCAAGACCGATCTTGAGGTCATCAAGGAAAAGGAGGCTGTCGCCGAGGGAGCCGGGAAGGGTGATGGGGTTGACATGGAACTCGATGTGCAATCCGAAGAGAGCGCGGTGGTCGCCGAGGGGGAGGGGAAGGCGGCGGTAGTCTTAAAGTTCCAGCTTGGCACAAGTACCTATGCTACAATGGCACTCCGGGAGCTGATGAAGGACGGGGTTAAAGCGTTTATTCCGGAATTCGGCAGGGCGTAGGCGGGGAAAGGTTGACACGTCGTACCTAGAAATCTTTGTCTACAGTAGATGGGCTGTCGGTCTGTGTGATATGTATTGTAGAAGTGATTGGTATAGAGCACTCCTTCGAATGACTGGATCGTGCTCTCCCGTGTAAATGCTGTAAATCTAATTTATATCTTGGCCTCTGATTTCCCCATAAATTAACTCGGCGCCTAGATTGACCCCTCCCTCGCATCAAGCATATGCAGAGGAAGTCGGACTTGGTGAAACGTGCCGGATTAACTCTGCAGATACAATCCCAGAGCACAACCTACGGTACTTGAGCACGTGCCGTACTGTACTCGAGCATAGGACTCGACTACAGTACCGATATAGTACCTCTTGCGCGGATATGTACTGTACTCTTACCGTACTTATCATGCATCCATACCGGAACCAAACGATCGATCTAGTCAACCTCTGGGACCCCCCGCCCCGCCCAGCGCCCTCGATTAAGGCCCCCACCGACCCTGAGATTCACCATTCGCAAATACCCTACGGTAAAGCATAACGAGGGAAGAAAGAGGAAGGAAGTAGAACGGTTAGTAAACGGATTATCCAAAGATAGTCGACCATACCGGTATCTCATCCTGCGGCGAAGTGGCCCAGGGAAGTGTACTGCACTACCGATACTCAAGCAACAGCACCACCGTAGCACAAGTACTATCGCATCACACGTTGACTTTCGTATCTGGGGTAAGTTAGGTAGGCAGGAGTCCGGCGGCGGGGTGGGGGTATTATGCGAGCGGAAATACCTTATTTTGTGCCGTCAATGCAATAGTGTTATGATATGGGCGTCGCCGTCCGGCCGTTAGCTTTGGTGGTATCGTAATTTACAGTCTTCACCGGAGGTACGGATACTGGTGTGGTGAAAGGAACGATTACTGTACTCGAGTACTGGTATGACAGTTTTTTTGTACGGTACTTGTAATCCTAACCTTGACCAATCTACAAGTACTTTTGCAGTATCATGCTGTGTCATACCCCTGTTCGCCATTCGCCCAGTTTCGCCATGCCCCCCCCCCCCCGGTGAAGACTGTACAGTATGGTGTGATTTACCGGTACCGTACCGTATGGTTTTCTGGAGCTCCGTTCGAAGAAGTTATTATTATTTCGGGTTCAACATGATCTAATGGCTTCCATATATCGTACCGGCAGTTATGTAGACTATTTGTATATACTGCCAAAAAATGGGTCTGGGGTCTCGGAAACCCTGGCCCTGAAGCCCAATTCTCCTCTTGGCTATGCCCCCAAGGGAATGGTGTCTGTCTTGGCCGACTGATGATAATATTATGATAATGTGATATGAACTTCCCTTCCGCAAACGAAATCGGGGGGTTCGGAAGATCTCTGTGATAGCACAGTTTATGGCGGAACACGGGAGTGGGGGTTTGCCCCGTTAGGTTATCCTTATGTCTACAAAATCCCATATTTTACATAAGCTTTTGCACCACCCCTCCCCCCCCCCACCTCCCGCCTCATCTTCCTCATCTCCTTTTTATTAATTTAAACCCTTTCATTTCGCTTCTTTGCTTTCCGTGACATAACTCTTTAGTGATAATGATCTCTACCGCTCGGATCCTACAACGACGTGCGCTTGCAACTGCTCCTAGAGGGGCCACGAGGGAATTCGCAAGTTGTGCCACGGCAAGGTTGAAGCCCCACGCTAGCGGCGTGATACGGGTTCGAGAGGTCCCCGAAATTGGGGTTGCAGGGTCGCCGCCGGTATCAGTGTCTGGGGCGTTACCATCAGGGCTGCGGGAGAGCGAGACCAACAGGCTGGAGAGGATCAGGAATGCGAAGCCATTCTCCGAGTTTCTGACGGACGGGTTTGGACGCAGGCATACGTATTTGAGGATCTCCGTTACGGAGAGATGCAACCTCCGATGTACGGTCCCGCCGTTCTTTACAAAAACGTTCCCGACTTGCTGATTTCTGGGGGTGGGGGACCTTATCTGTGAAAAATAGGTGTCTATTGTATGCCCGCTGAGGGTGTCCCGCTCTCGCCGCCCGCACACTTACTCTCCACTCCGGAGATTTTGGAGATCGCGAGGTTGTTTGTGAATCAGGGGGTTACAAAGATTCGATTGACTGGTGGTGAGCCGACTGTGCGGAAGGATATTGTTGAGCTGGTTGAGGAGTTGGGGAAGCTGCGGAGCATTGGGCTGAGGGAGCTTGCTATCACTAGTAATGGGATTGCCCTGCATAGGAAGTTGCAGAGGATGGTTGATGCGGGGCTTACGGGGCTGAACCTGAGTTTGGACACACTTGATCCGTTTCAATTTCAGATTATGACGAGACGGAAAGGTGCCTTCGCTTCCGCAGATAACTCACTGGGTAGGAGGCTGACGTGATGTTTGCGGTAGGACTGGAAACCGTCTTGAAAACTATTGATACAGCACTGGACATGGGTTTCGGCGAAGAGGGCAGTGGGAAGGTGTTAAAGATCAATTCTGTCGTGATGAAGGGTGTGAACGACCATGAGATTGTGGACTTTGTAGAAATGACCCGAGACAAGCCCATTGAGGTCCGGTTCATTGAGTACATGCCTTTTGACGTGAGTCGACCCCCACACTTCCTCACAGCAAATTTTGACTAACCCCTCCTTTCTCCTCCAGGGCAACAAATGGAGCAGAAACAAAATGGTCTCATACAACGATATGGTAAACCGGATCAAGGAAACGTACCCAACCCTTCAGAAGCTCCGCTCCCAGAGACCAAATGACACATCGAAAACCTGGGGCGTCCCAGGCTTCCGTGGAAGGGTCGGCTTCATCACCAGTATGACACATAACTTTTGTGGGAGCTGCAACCGACTGCGCATAACTGGCGACGGGAACTTGAAGGTGTGCCTATTTGGCGAGGCTGAGGTCAGTCTCCGGGACATGATGCGGAAGTACCGCGGTAGGGACCTGGAAGCCGGCGGTGTCGGGGAGGCAGCGGGCGGGAGGGAAGAGATGGAAAGCGAGCTACTGCAAGTGATCGGCAAGGCTGTTGGGAACAAGAAGGAGAAACACGCTGGCATGGGTGAGCTGGAGAACATGAAGAATCGACCAATGATATTGATCGGTGGGTAGGTCATGCTTTTTCTCTTTCCTTCCTCTCGGCTTCTTTAGCGGGCAAAAGGGATGGAAAGAGGCTGACTCAATATCCACAGATAAAAGCAGAAACCGAAAATCGATGAGCGGAAAATTCCTTTCATCCGGCGTTTCACAGGCACATATCCCGGGCGATATATTCCCTTGCATCTCCCCGTCACTGAATCTCACTCATTCTCAACTGATCCGCTCATACTCCACCGACACTACAAAACACATACCATCATTACTGACAAAAAACAGCAACCCAAACCCCACACCAATACAATCCCCGCCCCCACCTCCCTTCTCACCCCATCAAACCCCTTCCTCCCCTTCCTCCGCGCAAGCACTAACACACATAACCCCCACTGGCGAAGCTCACATGGTCAGCATATCCACCAAACCCCCGACACTCCGCACCGCCACCGCCCGCGGCCGCGTCGTTTTCTCAAACCCTACGGCGCGCGACCTTATCTCGAAAGGTCTCAATAAGAAAGGCGATGTTCTTGGCGTGGCGCGGGTAGCGGGTGTCATGGCTGTCAAGAAGACACCAGAGGTGATTCCTTTATGCCATCCCATATTAATTGATGGGGTGGATGTTAGGGTTGAGTTAGGCGGCCATGATGGTGGTGGTGGGGGGAAGGGGGGAGAGGGGGGGTACGGATATGTGGATATCTGCGTCACAGTCAGGTGCGAAGGAAAGACGGGGGTTGAGATGGAGGCACTCACGGGAGTTAGTGTTGCGGCGTTGACGGTGTTTGATATGTGTAAGGCGGTGGATAAGAGGATGGTGATTGAGGGAGTGAGGGTTGTTAGGAAAAGCGGGGGACGAAGTGGAGATTTTGTGGAGTGATATTTTGTGATTTGGTTTTTGGTCTCTTGTTTTAAATCACTCTTTTTATCTCACAGCGGTCGTGTAGAAATATTTCTTTTTTCGTTTCCTCTTTGTTTGAGGGGTCATTAACTCCCCTTTCTCGTAGCTAATGATGTTATAGAAATGAATTACGCTAGGCTAAGGAAGAATGGGCGACAAGAAGAAGGCAAGGGCAACCGAAAAAGAGAAGAGGGCTTATGACAATTCGCCCGTGATATGTGATGATGCATCCGTGAACAAAGAGAGCTCGGTACCTTAAAAGAAAAAAGCCTCCCCTATTATATACCTGAATTGACGAAAAAAAGAGAAAAGGGAGGAGAAGAATCCCGGAACTACCACTCAACGGAACGTTCGCCATTCACGTGTTTCCCATGAAACCCGAAACTAACCGCGGTGTCCAGCTCTGCCCTGGCAACCTCTACCAGGTCCTTTGCCCGCAATACCAGAAGGTAGCTCTTCTTCGCAAACCCGTCCAGCACAATGCTTAGCAAGACCCCATCATCCTCTTCTGTCCCCTGCGGGTCTGGGACAAAGGTGCATTCACTAGGGGTATGACCATGCACCTCCCAAACCAATGAAGTCCTAGTGGAAGAATCAAACTTGACGATACCATCCAACAGGGTGGACTTTACACGGTTGAGCAACCCATAAGTGAATCTGTGCGGCAAAGTGACAAAGTCCGGGTTCATAGTGGGCAACTCCATGCTCGAGTCCTTGTCCAGTTCGAAAACTACCTCTGCTTTGCTACCATCAACTGTAGTATCCATCCTCCAACGGGTCAGTTTCGGCCTACCCTTCTCCGCCCATGTCCATGCAGCCCTCGAGTCACCCTTTAAATTCTCGACGTAAAACTTCTTGATGACGTCCAGATTGTCATACACCGGCACCTCTGCGACCACAGTACCACCCTCTTCCCACGCGTTGACGGAGTGGAAGGCGAAGAACGGTGGGCACGGGTGCGAAGAGACAACGCATCTCCTAGCCTCGGTTCTGTCAATGACGTACCACCTTGTCTGCTTATTCGGGTCCCAGGCGTCGATTGCGTCTATCACGTTTTTGTGGTAGAGCATTTTGAGCCCGCCCATGGAATAGTACGCCCCCCAGACGCAGAGAACGACGTAACGGGGGGTTAGGAAGAAAGAGTGGATGTATGCTCCTGGAGCGTCTGTGATGGTTGCTAGGACCGTGGTTTTGCCTGTTGCCTTGGAGACTTGGAAGATTTTGTATTGCGGGTGCTTTCCTAGGGTCAAGTTATAGTTGAACATGTCCCCGGTCAGCGGATCACTCCGTGCGTGGGCGGCAGAGCAGGGCCCTTTGAGTTCCGGGTGGAGAGAGGCCTGATTCGCGATGCCTATGGGCTCGAGAGTCTCCGGGTCTAGAGCCTGAAGAGTGGTTGCATCCGTCTTGTTGTACAAATTTTTGACAGCCCCTGAAGCATTAGGAGCGTCCGGGAGGCCGGGGTAGTTTGTCGATATGGTCACTGCGCAATTGACCTTTGATGCATTCTTTGCCCCGCCTGCCACAAGGTCCACTCGTGGTTCGAAGAGGGATACAAACTTCTTGAAGAAGCTTTGGCATGGGTCTCGACGCTGGCCAAAGGAGAAGCCTGCTGGTAAGTGACCCGTTTCTCGTATCTCCAGCAGCAGGTCGTCGCAGGTGTGGCGAGAATTGTAGAGGACTTTCGTGGGGGAGACCAGGTTGAAGCGGTGGGCTTGTGCGAATGCGTCGAACCAGTGGGACATACTGATTGTTGTGCCCGAAGTGGTCTCGGTTTGGTAGCCCCCGGGACCAGTACGATAGAGAACACCGCTATTGTAAATATTTTATTGTCAGCCTATGGCTAATGGCCGTTTTCTGATCCACGGGGGATATCCATACAGAGCATACTCCGGAATTGATCCGGTCACTCTAAGTTCGATGGGGGTTCTTTCGTCGTGGAAAATATCAAACTTTAACGTATCACTCGGTGTAAGCTATAGTCCACAAGGCTGATCCGCTAATGGAATGATATGGAGGAGACACACCCCCTCAGAGTTGGGCCAATTTCCAAAGCTCTCCCTCTCTATCCCGATCTGTACCGGTTTCGTTGCTGTTGTAGTGCCAGGTGTGTTTGTTGAAATGTCCGTTGCGTCGGTATCGGCAGGAGGTGAAGTCTTTCTGGCGGAAAACGACCTCGCCAAGGTGCTCAGTCTCCGTTTCGTTGTGCTGCTCTCCCTGGCAATGGTTCCAGCGTTCGGCATGGGTTTCTGATGCCGATGACTCCTCCCAAAGACGCGGGGGGTCTCTGCAGTGGACGGCATAGTGACAAACAAATGGGCAAGGCGATAGACTAATACAATAGCAGGGAAAACAGGCAGTATTGGTCCCACAAGAGAAACAACTGCCGGCCAGAACTTGGAATTAAGTTTGGTGTAGGCTTATGGTGGCTTTTCGAAAGTTCAACCAAGAAACTCCATCTCCAGGAGGTAGTGGTGAGGGCTGGCTATATGAAGGGAGGTGGAAGGGCGAAAGCAGGAGGTGAGGTGAGGGGGGAGGGGGAGCAGGTGAAGAACGCGGGGAAAACTGATGGCCGGGCACGTTTTTGGTTTGCCTCATTTTCTAATTGCCCTTGTCGTCCCAAGGGAGTGAAGGCGAAACAAAACTGTTCGTGCCTTAGTTGAGACCTCAGACGTTGAATGGCTATTTCCAGACGAGTGCTCGCTTGCTTTCCTTCCAATTCGGGAAATTTTAATCGAGAACCTCGCTTGCCGGAGCCACTTGTATATAAATTACTAGAGACGCACCTGTGAATTTCCATAGCCAAGCCTTCATCCGTCCCTCAGCATTGAATACAGGTGAATACTAGGCCTCTCCTTCCGGAGCCCCCTGTGGATACTATACCGCACTTACTATCGAAGAACCGAAGAAGAATCCTACAGGGGAAAAGGATGAGAAAACACTGTAGAGAAGTGCAGCGGCGAGTCCGTGGAGAAGTAGGATCATCTCCACAGGCCTCGATTCTAGCTGCAGGAATGTTCCCGGAGCTGAAGGCCCTTTCAATGAATCTGTCACATCCGAATTGCGATCCTATTCGTCTCATTTGGCGAGGGATGCTGTACGCGATCATAAGTGTTTTTATCTTACACAGCATGAGGCAGAAAGCATACCATGCTGAAGCCCACACTCCCAAAGCTCATGTTATGTCCAACAGGTTTGATAGCAGGCGAATCATATTGGCACACCAACCAAAAGCATCTTGCAGTAGTGCCTTCCAATTGGCATGTCAAGAGCACTTTTTCCTTTCACCTCAGCCCAACCGAATCTCTCTCTCAACGCACGATACGCGAACTGTCCGGCCAGCACCGGCGTGAGCCACGTCGGTGAGCACGATACGGTACTCAGGTCAGACACCCCACCGTGCTCACGAGGAGCCTCAAGTCCCTGCCAAGTGATCGACATTTTGCCAACAACCGTTTTGATCAACGGTTGTGGCAAATCGGCAAAAGGATGTCAATGATCGAGGTGCAGCCCCTTCTCTATGTCGGCGGGCCACTGGTCTGGTATCCCACACTTACCATTTCCACTTTACTTTGGGGAGCTCAGAGCGTGGAGCCTTTTGGATTCAATTGCTGTGATGCCACTTACCACTGCGGCTACACTTCGGTTCCTTGAAACCTTAATTGACGATCACAAGGGCCACGTTTGGAAAACGAGTTATCATACTTGCATCCCCTTAAAATCTATTATACAATAGCATAACGTGAAGTACTGGCCCAGGCATAAGTTGCGGTATGATGAAGATTGAAAGCGCTTCAGATACCGGTATAGTACCGATAACACTTAAACCAGAAGTGAAGAAGAGTCCGTGCAAAATTCTGAATAATCTTCTCCGGAAACGCCCCGGCGTCATAGGGTTACCCATGGCTAAGCTGGCTGTTCCAACATCATACCTTGAGGTCACCCCCAACACCGGGCCACCGCAGAGACCCAAAAAAACCTAAAAAAAACCGGGAAAAACCGAGAGTTGCACAAGACCTCACTCGGCTCCCAGCTTAACAATTATGGAATTCGTTCTGCCATCGGAACCACCATCAGAGGCTCTATCAAGACACCGGAGTGCCACACACTTATGGTGCCATACCGGCACTCCCGCGGGCGCTGGTACGAGGGAAAAAAAATCACCTTGAAATGACCGTGTTGCGATATGGTCCCCTGATTTCGATCGAGGGGGGAATGGACGAGCGAACCTCTGGCACCCATATCGGTTCGCTTCACAGTGACCAACCAGCCAACCCATCCGCCACTGCCTTCACGAGTTCGGGCTGTCGTGCTCGCTTCATGACGTCCGCACTCTCGTTTTGATTCAGGGCCCAAACGAGTGGATGGAAGCTGGTTTTTATTGAGTACAGGTGCGGTAACCCCAGTGACCCAGTGATTGCAAACACTGATTGGTTCAGTAAGCGAAAGGAAACCAGGAAGTCGGAAAAACAAAAAAAAAGATGTGGAAAGACGTGTGTGACGGACGGACCGGACCTCGCTTCTGGGAGCGAATAGGAATGGGGAGGGGGTCTGGGAGGTGGTGGGAAGCGAGCATCCCTTGGTCCGTTTGAGAGCCCAAGGGATCGGTGGAATTGGTCTCAGCTTAAGATCCTAGTAATTTATCTCCGGTTATGGAAGGATACTTTCCGGATCTCGTTATTTTCTTACTCGTAACCAGTTCTCTTGCTTCCCCATAGTTTATTGTGGAATATACCGGTATTCTATTAAGGACCCAGCACCCAACGGACAAAAGGATAAACGTGGGGCATTGGTCTGTTTGCGAGTACCAATATGGTCATCGGGGTTGAGGGGTCTCATTTTCCTCGGTTTTATTGTGAGTTTTTCCTGCGGGAGAGGGGAGGGGGAGGGTACCGTAGTGCGATCATATAAGGCTCTTTGGTCTATCCACATGTATGGGACTTTGAAGGATTGGAGCTGGTATGGCAGCGTGGGTTGTACTCGAGCACCGTGGGCCCTGTGATGTACTCGTACTAGTGCAGTACTCGAGTATTGTGGAATACCGCGCCGTGGTACAGTACTGCCTTCACCGACTCATGATTACCGTGCTCGTGGGCGGCCTGCTCTCACAAACTTCGGGAATCCTACTGTTTTTTGGATCCTTCGTGACACCTTCCTAAACTCTAAAGACATGTCGTATCGGTACAAGCACTTGCAGGATGGAGGTGCAAAGGTTGGGAGAGAAAAAAAGGTAACTCATTGGGACTCGGCACCAAACTTCCACGGGTCGACATCTCACACCTGGAATTGGCATGATCAGTTATCATACCTGGGATGGTTTGAAAATTAACTCATAGGTCCCGACCATTCCAGGAACGTGTTCGGCACGAAAAATATTTGTAACCATGAGGCCACTAAAAACGAAACACAAACGCTTCCATTCAGCCTTGTCTCTCCTCGGTTCAAGTCCCCGGCTATCAATTGACAGCCCCCAGCATCAGGTACAGTATCATATACAGTTTACAACATTCCCTTCCTCCATAATATTGTTCCGCGGACACGACGATGCAAGGAGCCTCACGTTTGCTGCTCCCATCACTCCCGTCCTACATGTCCACGGAAACGGCGGCAGGCGTTTTGGGTTTGGTCGGTGCGCCGGATTGTACTCGTACTCGTACGAGTGCAGTGCTCGTATCGTTATAGGCTCCGATCCCCTGATCGGACCTACGCATGTACCAGTACGAGCACTAGCTCGTTGGCAGGGTCTGGCTTTCCTTCAAATACCGACTCTGAACTGTCCTATGTGTCTGTTGACCCACAGTTCGAGCTATGCAAGTAACTTTGTTAGCGCAGACACGCCACGGAAGCCTCGGAGGTTGCGGATCCGGAGCGCAAACTGAGCTTTCCATTCTGGCCTCACTGCTTCTCTTATGATATCATGAATCATCCCTCCCCTAATTTGCACCTCATTCAGAGGGGTAGATCCACTGGGGCTGGACTAGATTTCTAAACCTCTGGTTTTTGGGGTATCCTCTCCCGGGTATACTCGAGTTGAGAGAGAGAGAACAGGGTGTATTCATCATCTGGCCATTGTTTGCATCCTCCCGGGAAACCTGCTCATGGGAGCGGTGCGGCCTGGTTACTGGTCATGGTTGGGGTGGCAGGTAGGACTACGGTACAGGTAGCGATGGCCCATGGGCGTGCTCAGGAAGAGGAAAGAGATTCCTCACGAGCATGATTTAAGTTCACTTACCGCTATGTATCTGATCTGGCTTAGAATCACCTTGAGGGTTTCGAAATACGAGTAAATATGCATTCTGAATTTTCTGTGTAACATAGAGTCGACCGGTATTTCGGCAGTGATGCCTTTAATACGGATCGATGTCTCACGTCTATATGCGCGAAATCTCGGACAACATATGTTCTATCATACCTACGGTACTTATCTCAAGCCCATCGAGTGGACTCGGCCTTTCAAACTGTTTATCGGTTTTACTTCGGATGCGGTGTGGTGTGTGGGCATCAGGAGTTTTAAAAATAACTTACGAATAGGTGACGCACTACGGGCAATACAAGTACAAGTACCGGTACACAACTTTGCGTTGACGGAAGCACGGTACTCGGGTACCGGTATTGGGTATGGACTCCCATTGTGGGGCCTGCCATGACCTGGTCTTCCACTTTCCCTTTTTTTTTCTTTTCTTTTTCTTGAAGGACCGTTTGGATTTTCAAATGCGGTACGGGACTGGTACCTCCTTTCATGGCCGGGCACCACCGGATCGATTCAATTGGAGATGACCACTGTTGACTTGCCGCAGGGTTTATCAGACTTCTTATCTTTTTGGGGACTGGCGGGTTGGATGATCTCTGTTTTTGGGTTATATTTCCATCCTGGGGGAGGGGGGCTACTGCTAGCGTGCGGGTCCTGATCGTTGGTATCATAGAGCCTCTCTATGCTTAGACTAGGGCCCAGGGAATTGTTCAAGTGGTTCGGGGTCACGGGATTTGAATTATGAGCTGGCCTTGTGTTCATTTTGCATACAGTTCCTAGTCCTTAGCTGAGAGAAGAGTTCACAATATATCTGCCTGCAGGGGGTTACAGCACGCTGGGAGGGCAGGTACAAATAGCGTGATTACAGGATTTGAACTTGGGGAGAAATTGGCAAAGAAAGGGGAAGCACGGGTTTTGCAGAGATGATTATAGGGCCTTAGTGGTTCCCGTATGAACGACTGGCTGGTCCTGGCACTTAGCTTGTTGCTTCGGAGGGCAAGAGGGTTCCGTTGGTGACTGCGGCTCCGTGGGCTCTTGCCAAGAATGCATACGCCGTGAGGTACCTGATGGATGGGGAATAGTTGGTAAGTTTGCCATTATGGCCCCGGGAGTGGTGAGGCATGCTTACTTATCGAAGAATGGCAAAATCTCAGGGGTTCCGGGGGTGTCCCTCCAGTCTCTCATGAGATCCGCGACAATTGCAAACATTCCCATGGTGGTAACGCCCGCAGCTCTCATACGGTCGTTGGCTTCGTCTGCGAGCCGTTGGTCGAATGTTCCGCTTGCGTCCGAGTTCGCAAATACCTCATATCCCTCGGCCCGAAGAGAGAGGGCAAGGAAAGCGGTGCACACCTGTTTTGAGAGATATCGTAAGCAAATATCTTGTGGCTGGGACGGAGATGGTTGGATTAGGCAACTAACGTCAGTTGTGATACCGGCTAGGACAATTTGTCTCTTTCCCGTAGCTTTGACAGCGGCGCGGTAATCAGCATTATCCCAGGCATTGACTTCACCACTACGCTTGATGAGGGGAGCCCCTTGATGCATCTCAACGATCTCCCGCGGAAGTGGTCCATTGGGTCCGGTCTCGGCGCTCGTGGTCAAGACGACCGGAATGTTGAACACCTTCGGGAGAGCAGCATGCGCGAGGATGTTGTTCCTGTATTGGTCTGGCGCAAAGTCCCGGACAAGGGAGAACAAACCCAGCTGGTGATCAACAACAAGAAAAGCAGTGTCATTCTTACTGAGCCGAGTGAAGGTTTGGTTGTTCGCTACATGTCGTGAGCATGGTTTCCCTTTTTGGAGTGGGGGGGGGGGGTCTTGGGGACATACCTTGGGCTGTGAGCGACAAAGCTAGGGCAGTGAGGAGGATGGGAATTGGGAATGAGAAGTGCATCTCGCCTGTTCTCGTTTTCCGGATACCTTGACCAATTGAAATATTTGACTGTGGTGCGAAGGGCGAGGAGCTGGATGACCTCTCCAGGTTGCGGGGGAGCAGGTATTTATATGAAAGCACTGATAGTCCTATGAAATTTAGCATACATCCTCTTCTTTAGCTGCCTGTATGCGAATGCCCTCCATTGCGCAGTGATGGGCGCGAGTTCACGAGCATTCTTACCAACGGTTAGACTAGGGCTCCTGGGCGTAAGTATGATACTTGACAAAATTTCCCGGGTTGGGTGGTTTATTTTAATTCCTTTGATTGTTTGAGGGCACAATTTCTATATGCTCGTACAACCGCTGGGTTATGACGTAGAACCCATCCTTAGCTTGTATAACGAGTGATAAACAACTTGTACTCGTACTGTATCATGATTTGATAATGGTGTATTCCACTTCCCATCCATCAATATCCCCAGCCCCACTCTAAGCTTCTCTGAGCAACTGCTCAGCCTTGTTTGAAGTATTGACAGACTATTAACGATTCATAGATAATGTGCCCTACTCGAGCGCGGTATGATAGATAGTTAGTTGTACTAGTAATGAGGGTTGTGTGTTTGGGGGGAGCGCTACAGGGTAAACAAGGGGTTTCTGGGACGGGTCTCTTTTTTTTTTTTGCTTTGCTCTTATGATAAGGGTTCGTGGGATGATGCAACAGTATGATTCTACTCGAGTAAGCAATCAGAACTAATCTATCCCCGCAATCCCCACGCAAAAACGGCACGATGGCACACATTTTTTTTTTCCTCCCCCCCCCATCCCTGTGTGTCGAGCCAAGATCTACTTGTATCATACAGCAGCTTCATGGCTCAATCCCTAGACTACAGTACCCCTAACCTCTCCATCCAGCCCGGTACGTATCATAAGAACTCTTGAAATCCACTATCTCCGTCAGCCCCCTCGGGAGGCATTAACATTTTCCTGATATTGCGCTAGTAAAATATTTGTCGGTTGTATTGTAACTTACTCGAGTAGAGTAGACGACTAGAGGAGAGAAGGTGTGTTGGGTGTCACTAACCGGTATCATCAATTCTGTTGACCTGCCTGTCAAACGGAACCTAAAAATTTACACGGTATCATAGTGGGGGATGACGGGCCACCAGAGATTTTACTGTACTGTAGGGGCAGTAGATTTCGAGGGGGGGGTTTTCTTCACGGGGTGATACCGCAGTCTAGTACGGTACTGTACCGGTACTGTACTCCTTAATTATCCGTACAGTAAAATTCCCTAGATTTGGAGTTTTTGAAATGAATTGGCACGGTAACTTACTCGTAATGACCGCGTATGGGAGAGAGGGGGGGGGGCGCGGGATTGATCATCCATACTGCGTGCTTCCTTGTATGATACTTGTAAATTATCTGGACACTTCTGCGGTCCGTGGTACGGTGCTGGTATATACCGGTACTGTACTGTAGTCTACTCGGCAACATGATGTAATACGGTACCGATTATTCGGGCTGCGGAGTTGGTGGGTGGGTGGTACTTGTACCGTACCGTACAGTACCATACAGTACGCTTACCGGTATTTGAGCTCCTCGTTGGTTGGTTGTGGCGGTGCCTGTGCTATGCTGTACGAGTACGGTATGGTACTGTACAGTGGTCGTGGTTGTGTGTGAGCATGTTGGACAGTGAGGAGGGAATGGGCTAATTTGTGTCAGGGGTTGTGTGATGATATATGAGTGATTCTTTCTTTGAATCTGCATCTGCGCGACTGGAAAGATACCGTAGGTGTTGTGGTTGAGCTGGTCTTGTGAGTAGGCTTCGCATTGCAGAATGGTTTGATACTGCAAATGATAGAGGGGGGTTTTTTTTTGGGGGGGGGGGGGGTTACTATATGGGTTTGCTTGTGCGAGTACCGATAACTTAGTGGGTGGTGGAGGAGGAGGAGGCTTGGTGGGTAAACCTATTGTGCTGAGTGGCTGGTGGGGTTACGATAGGAGGAGGAGGAGGAGGAGGAGGAGGAGGAGGA